GCTACCTAACCGAATCAGATTTAAATGCATGTCACAATTATTCTTCTAGTTCTTTTTTTTTTTTTTTTTAAAGATTTTATTTATTTATTTGAGAGAGAGAGAATGAGAGCTAGAGAGCACGAGAGGGAAGAGGGTCAGAGGGAGAAACAGACTCCCTGCCGAGGAGGGAGCCCGATGTGGGACTCGATCCAGGGACTCCAGGATCATGACCTGAGCCGAAGGCAGTCGCTTAACCAACTGAGCCACCCAGGCGCCCCTTCTAGTTCTTTGTGATTGATTTCTGTTGTAGAGATGGAGAGGTTGAACCTTCGTGAGTGAAAGGGCATGAGTAGAATTTAGAACTTTGTAAGTCTTCAGAGGGGTTCATAAAATAGATTGAAGAGAATATTTTCTTTGCACCTACTGGAAAGTTACTCCCACCATAATTCTTGAGAAGGTTTGCATTTATTCAGTCTTCTTGATCACTATTCCCTTTGCCTCTCATTTGTCCGTGTGCTTACGTGACTTAGAGCACGCTATGCTTTGTGCATAAGAAAGATTTCATGAATGTAAGTGTAGATTGGTCAGTGTTGTAAAGGTGTGCAGGGCATTCACCTCATGCTGTGAGGCAAAGATATTGCCAGCAGTCACAGATGGGTCACTAGCAGATGTTCCCCCCACCCCTGGAATCCTAAATCACAAGTCTGGGATTCTAAAACAGGGAAAAAGAAGAATTGTGTATTTTAAATGGGGATGGACACTTTTGAGTTGACTTGTGTGGGATTAAAATGTTACTATCATTTTTTGTTTTTTAGAGAGAGCACGCATGTGCTTTTGCATGCACAAGTGGGGGCGAGGGGCAGAGGGAGAGAGAATCATAAGCAGGCTCCACTTTCAGCGTAGAATAATAGAAATAATCTATTATTTTACAACTTTAAAAATTATATAACAATGTAAAAAGTCTCCTGTTTCCTCCAACTGCAGTTTCTGCTCTTAGAGGTAATCACTGCTGTTAACAATTTGTTGTATACAAATTCATCCCTAGCTTATGATTTTTCAACTTTATGATGGTGCGAAAGTGATAGGCATTCCATGGAAACCATACTTCGAATTTTGGGTTTCGATTTTTTCCTGAGCTAGTGATATGTGATATGATGCTCTCTCTTAATGCTGGGCAGTGGTAATGAGCTGCAGCTCCCAGTGAGCCCTGTAATCCTAACGGTAAAGAACCAACACACTTACACCATTCTGTAACCATATAGATGTTCAGTTTTTCACTTCCAGTACAGTATTCAGCAAACTACATGAGATATTCAACACTTTAGTGTAAAATAGGCTTTGTGGTAGATGACTGTACCCAACTGAAGCAAATGTAGGTGTTTTGAGCACATTTAAGGTAGGCTAGGCAAAGCTATGATGTTTGATCGGTTAGGTATATTCAGTGCATTTTTGACTTAACGCTATTTTCAACTTATGATGGGTTTATCTGATGTAAGCACATCCTAAGTGGAGGAAGATCTCTATATTTTTTTAACCTTACTAACATGTCATGGATGTCTTTCCATTTCATCTTTAGCTGAACCTCTTTAAAAATATTTAACAATTTGAGGTATAATTTACATACCATAAAATCCATCCATTTAAATATATAATTCAGTGATAGTACTGAATTTACACATTTGTACAATTATCACTATAATCACATTTTAGGATACTTCTGCTACTTTAAAAAAGTTCCTTTATGGCTGTTTGTGGTCACTCCCCAGCCCCAGTTATAGATAACTGTTTATCTGCTTTCTGTCTTTATAGTTACTCTTTTTTAGAAATTTCATATAAATGGAATCCTATAACATGCATTCTTTTGTGTCTGACTTCTTTCATTTAGCATAATGTTTTTAAGGTTCATTCATGTTGTACTTAACAGTTGGTGCCTTTTTCTTGCTGAGTACTATTCCATTGTATGGGTATACCACCCTGATTAACCATTTGATTAAACTCTGACGGACATTTGATTTGTTTCCAGTTTGGGGGTATTATGAATAATGCTGCTATGAATATTTACATATAAACATTTATGTTGACATATGATTTTATTTTTCTTGGGTAAATGCTTAAGTAAAATTGCTTGGTTGTATGATAAGTTATATTTAAAAATTGCCAACCTGTTTTCCCAAAGTGGCTGTATTTTCCATTCCTTCCAGCAGTGTATGAGGCTTCTACTTTCTCCCGAATTTTCTAACTCTTAGTATTGTCAGTATTTTCCAATTGTGATTTAGTTTGCCTTTTCTTAATAACTAATGATGTTGAAGTATATTTCCATGTACTTATTGGATATCTGTATGTCTTCTTGGGTGATGTGTATATTTAAATCTTTTGTCCATTTTGTAATTGGGTGGTTTTTCTTATTTCAGTTTTAAGAGTTCTTTATGTATTCTATACATAGGTCTATTATAAGATGTATGAATTGCAAATATTTTCTCCAATCTGTAGCTTATCTTTTCATTTTCTTATGGTTGCATTTGAAGAGCAAAATTTAAAAATCTTGATGAAGTCAAATATATCCATTTTTTTTTCTTTTATGAGTCTTGCTTTTAAAGAAATCTTTGTCTAACTCATGTCAGAAAATTTTCACCTACAAGTTTTGTGGTTTTATTTTTTACATTTGGAGATATGACACATTTTGAATTAATTTTTGTGTGCATGTGAGGTAAAAGTCTAGAAGTGTAAGTTTTTTTTGTTCTTGCATGTGAACATTTAGTTGTTCCAGCCCTATTATTTTCCTGTCCTTTTGCCATTGAATTGTCTTGGTACCTTTATAAAAAATTAATCAACCATAAATGTTTAGATTGGTCTCTTATATTTCTGTTCTTTTCCATTTAATCTATAAATTTATCCTATGCCAATCCCACACTAATTATATGATAGTTTTATATAAAGTTGAAATCAGGTAGCTTAAGTTCTCCAACTTTGTTCTTTCTTTTCAAAAATGCTTAGGCTCTTCTACATTCTCTACATTGCTACATAAATATTAAGAGCAGCTTGTCAATTTGTAAACAATAACAAAAAAATCCCAAATATCCAAAAACCTGCTGAAATTTTTATAGGGGTTGTGTAGAATCTGTAGATGAATTTGAGGATGTTGCCATTTTCACAATGTTGAATTTTCCATTTCATGAATATAGCTTATTTCTCCAATTTGTAGCTTCTTTTGTAGCAATGTTTTATAATTATTAGGGCATTGGTTTTGAATTTCTTTTGATAAATTCATTCCTGAGGGCTTTTTTTTTATGCTATTCTGAATGGAATTATTTCCTTAATTTCAATTTTGATATGTTAGTTGCTCGTATATAGAAATACAGTTAATTTTAATATGCTGATCTTGTATCCTGTGATCTTACTAAACTTGCTTATTATTTCTAGTAGCTTTTTTTTTTTTTTGGTAGCTATCTTAGGATTTTCTGCATATGAGATCATGTTTTCAGCAAAAAAAGGCACTTGAACTTCTTTCTTTCCAGTCTGTGTGCTTTAAATTTCTTTTCTTGCCTAATTGCATTGGCTGGAAACACTAGCTGCAGGTTGAATAGAAGTGGTGAAAGAGACATTTTTCTTTGTTTATAATAGGAGGGAATCATTCATTTTATCATGAAATGTATTGTTAGCTGTAGGTTTTTGTAGATGCTCTTTATCAGGTGTGGAAGTTCCCTTGTCTCTGGGTTTATTAATTTGTTTTGTTTTTCTCTCTTTTTTCTGCATCTGTTGAGATGACCATTTGGTATTTGTGCTTTATGCTATTAATATGCATAATACATTAATTGATTTATGGATATAAAATCAACTTTGCATTCCTGGGATAACCCCACGTGGTCATAGTATATAATACATGTTTTGTAGTTAATATTTTGTTAAGGATTTTTACACCTATTTTCATGGCAGATACTGGCCCATAGTGTTCTTTGCTTTTGATGTCTTTGTTTGGCTTTGATATGAGAGTAGTGCTGGCCATGTAGAATTTGTTGGACAATGTTCCCTCCTTCACTATATCCTAAACAAGTTTGTGAAGGAATGGAATTATTTCTTCCTTGAATGTTTAACAGAATTTGCCAGTGTAGCCATCTGGTCCTAGAGACTTTTGTTTTGTTTTATTTTGCGTTTGTGGGAATGTTTTAAATACAATTTTGATTTTTCAAGAATAAATCCTTCTCAAAAATTAAATGCTTTGATTTTTCAAGAATAAATAAATGTGGCTTTATTCACATTCCATAGCCCCCAGATGGTTGTTTTTGATTATTTTGTCCAGCTTGATATTTTTATTTTGCTGAAAGAATTTGCCACCCCCCTTCAGAGTACCACACTCAGAAGCTACTTCTCTGCATCTTTTTAATGGCTGTACAATATTCCATTTTGCAGATGTACCATAATCTAATAAAAAATAGTTTTTCCAAATTTTAAATATATTCTTAAATAGTGATACAGTTAAATTTAATCCACATACAACTTATGCTAATAATTCACTGAAGTAGGTTCCTAGAAGTGAGTTGGCTGGGCAAAAGTTATGCACATTTTTAATTTTAATAAATACTCTAAAGTTATTCTCCAAAATTTGTACCAAATTATTACAGAGATAGAATAATATAAGAGAAGGTCCACTTCTCTCTATCTGCCACTACTGTATACTGTTAATCTTATACATATTTGCCAATGTAAAAGGCAAAGATTGGTGTATTTTTATTTGCATTAATTTATTTAAGTGGAGTTGGGAACCTTTTTTTATGCTCTTTGTTTCTTTTTATTTTATGAAGTGACTTGCCATGTCCTTTGCTTGATTTACGATTAGATTGGTTGTCTTTGTCTCACTAATTTATAGGATCTTCTGTTATTTTAGTTATATGAAACTTTTATCTGTTTTCTGTTGTAAATATTTATCAATTTAGCCGTTCACTTTTTTTCTAGTCGTAACTGTTTTCAGTCTTTTAAAAGCCTGTCTTGTAATTTATGTTTTTGTTTGTTTGTTTTTAAAACAGCAAGTTGTACAAGGGATTGATGTAAACCAAATCCGAGGGCTTGGGTTTGATGCCACGTGTTCTCTGGTGGTTTTGGATAAGCAGTTTCGTCCTTTACCAGTAAACCATGAAGGTAGGACCATTCCACTTTCTTTCCCTGGTGGTGGGAGACTGGCTGGGCCCCAGGTGTAACATGAGGTCAGATGTCTCTTATTGCCATGGGTGAGATTTAGTGGTGGAGCACGGAGGCCAGAATCATGTCCTGGAGGTTACCTGCTTAGAGAACTGTTGGTGGCAGTGGTGACATGGGGGCTGGATTAGGGAGAGACTTGGCTCACTAATGCATAGAGCCACAGTGGAGAGCACACTGAAGGAAGGACATGGAATCATTAGCTCAGAGTGAGCAGCCTTGAAACAGGCAAGTGGTCTGGGTGTTTTCTGGGAAGGGAGTGTCAGTGCCTGCAGTTGCTTTGTGTATGATACTCCTATAGCATCTTTATTTGGATAGGTGAGCCAAGTCCATTTAAAGGAAATAGAATAAGGTAGACAGGACCATGCATCACACAGAAGCTGGAAACAGATTGGCTTCTTTGTTTTCAGTAGCCAGACCAAAGGACATTCCCACTTAATGACATTGTCCTAATAGAGACTTGTGAGTATAATAATGAGCTGTTCCAAATGTATGTGCCACTTGGCTTCACCATCAGAAGCTTTTCATGGGTCAAGATCTGTCCCTCTTGGGAAATTTTAACAAGTAGCACAACACTGAGGTTGCAAACCCAAAAGCCCATAGTAGTCGGGTAGGTAATGAAAATGAGTAAAGTGGACCAGGTTTGAAAAAAACCCGATAGCACATGTGTGGAGATAAATTTCAACTAATTTTTAACCTTTTCATGAACAGAAGACATTTGGGATGGTGGAGACCACAGCACAGTGGAAATTGCATGTTCCATCTAAGGAGCGTGGCTCTAGGCATCGTCAGCGAGTTGTTGCCAAGATAGCCATTGCAAATGTGTTTTAGGCCAAGATTGTGTTTGAGAACCCTCTGCAGTGGACACTACTATCGCAGTGCCCTTCTTAACAGGTGGCTATGGATACCACGGTACACTGGGACACCTTGGAACTGGAGTCAGAAAGGTCCTGGATCTCAGCTCTGTTCATGCTGAGTCATGACACCTCGAGCGAGTCACTTTCCCTCTGCATTTTCTGAAAGAATTGGAATTTAGCTTTGCTGTGAGGATTGAGAGCCTGACACCTGAATGCTCAGAAACATTTCTTCCATCTGATCATGAATTCCTAAAAAGAGAATGTGTACCACTCACTTTTATGGACCTAATTCATAGAATAGTGATTTATATAAGTTACATGTGCTGGAAAAAGTATGCAAATGGATGAATGGTTAGAACACAGTGGTAATGATGTCCATCTTTCTACACACACACACACACACACACACACTCACACACTCACACACTCACACACTTTTCCCCCTTTTTGCCACATTTATTAGCATCTCCCATGGGCCAAGCCCTGTCTCATTGAGTGTTGGGATGTCAAAGACAAACATGAATGTTCCCTGTTCTCAGTGGCTGATCACTGGCTCGCCTGGCATTGTTCTGGCCTAGGAGGGCAGAACAGCCCCAATCTGGGCCACTTCAGAAAGCACAGACCGAAGAAATGGGGCTGGGCCTAGCAGACCTCAGCTTGCAGCAGCAATAAGCACTCTCCAGTTATGAGATATGGCCAGCCATGGAGCTGGCCCCTTGGGGAAGCTTTCAGCGCTTCCTTGATTGACTTGCTTTCAGTAGTGACCAGGCGATGGTCTCTTAGGGATGCTGTTGGATGAGTTCTCATTTGGGGTGGACTTTAGATGTTAACAGCCCTGGGATCCAAGTGCGCTAACCTCTGATCTGCTAAAATGCGTGGTTTTTAATTCTGGCTTTATATTGAAATCAACGTGGGATCTTTTGAAGTCCCCGATTCATGAGGCTTACCTCCAAGATTTGTATTCGCTTGACTTGTGGTGAGAGTAGGGCATCAATATTGTCAGAGTTTCCTCCATCGTTCTGGTATGTAGAGAGAATCACTGGGTGCAGCTGAGTGGGCAGCTAAGATAGCAACAAGAAAGAACACTTGAAGTGGAAGAGGAGAGTTCCCTGTTAAGCCTGCTTACATACGCATCCTCTCTGGGTGCCATCTTTTTTCTCATTGTAGGTGGAATTGCCTCCTGTTAACAGGCCTTCTATTAAAACAGTAGTTAGGTTGCAACCCTAATTATAAGTGTTGAAATAATTTTATTCCACCAAAATGGTTAAAATATACCCATTCATCAAATGCATCCAGCAATATGTGCCCCTTACCAGCTTCTTGCCTTTCAACGGGTTCTATTAAGGTTAGATTTTATCTGAAATGGATTATCTTGTGCTAGAAAATGAAATTTTAATTTTAAAGGTGAGTCAAAGGTTGTTTCAAGACTTCTTATGCCTGCATGGCAGTGAACAGCTCTTGGCTAACTGGAGTAATTGTGAGGAGCAGGCAGTGAGGTCAGGAAATTAACCATCACCATTTAAAGGCAAACCCACAACACTGGCAAAAATACAAAGACGGTAACAAAAAAAAAAAAAAAAAAGATAAGGGAAAAAACCCCGAGTAAATTAAGTACAGTAGTTTAAGAACATTAATCATGACTACATGATAAAATATTCTCATTTTATCCTCTTCTTGTTTGATCTTCTTTCCTTTGAAGATCAGACAGCCCCCAGGTTGGACCGTGGAGCCAATGCTTCCAACTCTGCGACCCCCCCCCCCCCCCGCCAACTCACAGCACAACTCTGCTTGGGTCATCCCAGCCGCAGGAGCTCTTGGGAGCAAGAAGAAGCACGGGTGGTAATTCAGGGTTGGGGAGGGAGTTATCACTTAGGCTACTCTGCAATAGAAACCTAATATTGAGATGTTTTTCCTAATTCATAGTGATTTCCCACAAGCACACCTCCTGTGAGATATTCAGAATGTTAATTGAATGAATACATGGATGAATCATCTGCCCATGGGTAAACTGATTGTATAACCCAAATTCTGCTCTAGTAGTTGCTTCTAATTCTCTTAAAACGTGACACTTTCTAAGGCCTGTGCTTTATTTCACGTGCTGACCCTTTCGTGTTAGAGCCTCCTTCCTCACCCTCCCTTCATCTGGCTGACCAGCAGCCAGTCGTTTTCAGAACTAAATGAAAGCTTCCCTGCCTTCTGGAAGCTCTCTGTGCAGCCTTGGGCTCAGCTGTGCACAGCCTCCTCTGCGCTCCATGTCCCACTTCTGTTCTGACTGTTGACTTACCTGGTAGACTGGCTTTGTCCATCCAGCCACAGGCTGCATACAGGCAGGACTGTGGCATATTCTTCCTGGCATCCCAGCACCCCGCACTGTGCTTGGCAGGTAATAGGTGCTCAGTGAGAGATTAAATGAGCTTTCTTTTTTTTTTTAAGATTTTATTTATTTATTTGAGAGAGAAAGAATGAGACAGAGAGAGCATGAGAGGGGGGAGGGTCAGAGGGGGAAGCAGACTCCCCACCGAGCGGGGAGCCCAATGCAGGACTCGATCCCAGGACTCCAGGATCATGACCTGAGCTGAAGGCCATCGCTTAACCAACTGAGCCACCCAGGCGCCCTTAAATGAGCTTTCAGTGGAGTCCTTTATTTGTGATTTTCTGTAAGAACTGAAAATGATTAACTTCCTATTTTTTGTTCACAATGCGAATCATTAATTGATAATCTTCATATACATATATGTAATAAGCTAATAGCGTCTCACAGTTTCATTGTGCAGTTCTGTGTTTTGAGAGCCTCTTCCTGTAGAGGCAGTAGGAGCTGCCAGTTGAAGGTCGTCCCAGTTGAAAGTTCAGCGACAGGTGTTTTTGTCTTGAAGCCATTGCAGTTGCATTTATATAATATTTAAGAAGCAGTATTAACATCGTTCCCCCTTTTTTTTAAGATTTATTTATTTGAGAGGGAGAGAGAGCACACGGAGGGGAGGGGGAGAGGCAGAGGGAGAAGGGGAAAGAATCTTAAGCAGACTCTGTGCTGAGTGTGGAGCCCATGGTGGGACTTGATCCCATGACCCTGAGATCATGACCTGAGCCGAAACCAAGAGTCAGCTACGCCACCAGGTGCCCTGACATTGTCCCCCTTAACACGCACACATACACACATGCATGTGTATGCGTGTGTGCACTTGTGTGTCTGTGTTTGCCTACACACCCACAGTCTGATTCCGTGATGATTCTGGGATGAGACCTGGACATCAATGTTTTTAAAACTATCCTGGGTGGTTCTAATGTGCAAGGAGGGTTGAGAACCGAAACTTTAAGCAGTGATATTATACAGTATAATCACTCAGCTATTTAAAAATAAATCTTAGGGGCACCTGGGTGGCTCAGTCATTAAGCATCTGCCTTCGGCTCAGATCACGATCCCGGGGTCCTGGGATTGAGCGCCGCATTGGGCTCCCTGCTCGGTGCGGAGTCTGCTTCTCCCTCTCCCACTGTCCCTTCTCCCTGCTTGTGCGCTCTCTCTCTCTTGCTCACCCTCAAATAAATAAAATCTTAAAAAAGAAACCAAACAAATCTTAGATGTGTCTCTGGAAGGTTTCAGGTATTTCGTCTTATTTTCCAAATATTACTGTTGTTTGAGGAGCTTCTGTGGGACCTGAACCCTCCAGCAGGCAAAGCTGAGACTGAGTCCTTGCCTCATCATGGTGATGATGACCTGACTTCCATGTTTTCTTAGGTTGGCATTTTTTTTCTTTCAGTTTTAAAGATTCTTTTTCAGAGACATGGCAAAGTAAGGAAAATAAAATTTGTAGCTTCTTGTGTACCCACTACTGAGGATAAAGAGATGAAAATTTGCCATCTTTACCACAGACTTTTTTTAAGAGAAGAACTACTTGAAGCTTTGGCTCATGCCTCCCCTGCCCCCGCACCCCGCCCCCCCTGGCAGGTGACCGGGCTGCTGTAGTTGGTGTTCATAAACACATTGTTGCTGTGCTTTGCCAACATATGTGTCTACCCTCAACAACAAACAATATATATGGTGTTTAAAAATATCCCAGCTGGTAGCGTTATTCATGTTGATATGCGTAGCTTGAGTTTAAGTTTGTTGTACCAATTTATTTATCCATTCTCTCGGCACAGATCTGTTTCAAAGCACGCTATATGCTTTTCCAAGCTGTGAGATAGGAGGCATGTCTTAAATCTTGGAGTCAGTTTGTCATGGAAAACGACCCAGGTCAGAGAGTTGTTTTGAGGATTAAGTGAGATGATGCGAATAAAATGTTTAGCACAGGGCTTGGGGCACACACACACACACACACACATACACAGAGCTTTATAAATATTTGTTATTAGCAAAGATATATAATTGCTACAGCTCTTCTGCAATTGCAGAATAATGTGTGAAGGGCCTGGTTCAATTACTGTTGGGTCCGCTTTTATCTTTCCCTTTTATTATCTCCCAGTTTATTCATTGCTGCTCTCTGCATTTTGCCATCCAGGAAGCAGAGGAATGTAAAAGTATTGGCTTGCCCATTAGTACATGAGGAATTAATCGAGGCCGTGGAAGGGAGAAAGGGACAGTTTGTTCCTGTGTGGGCTGCAGGATGGTAGAGGTCGGATGTGAGGTGCATGCTTGCGCTGCCTTTCCAGCTAGTTTTAAATTCTGTTTCTTTTTTCTTCTTCTTGAGAGCCTACTATAGGATAGCTACTTGCCTTTATGTGCATTGCCTTGTTCGGTGAACAAAAAAATCTCAATTAACCCTTAATGCTATTAGGTGTTGTTATCCCTGTTTTATAGGTAAGGACACTTAGGCTAAGAAAAATTTAATGACTCTTGTGAGGTATCTCCACCTGTAACTGAAATAGTGCATGTTCCCCATGAGGTCCGCCTGATCCCCAGACTGAAAATAATTCCATTGCTTCCCACTCCATGAAACCGAGAGGGGGATAAAACAGCTGAGTTAACTGATTTTAATCAAAGTGACTAGAAGAAGTGGGGCTATAAGCAGATAAAAGCCATCGTATGGATGTAGTTGGCATGTTATATTGGATATATTATTCTGTTGAAGTGTCTGTCCAAACAGATCTTAAAAAGCCAACATACTGTTTTAGGCTTACTTCATAGGCTCTTTTCCTGCAGATAGACCCAGAAAAGGTTTTCTGGAACAAAAGGGATAGGAAAGGAGAGGAAGAAGTTGGGAGAGAATGAACAAGAATCTACTATATTGGTAGATCTCAATTGGTTTTGTTTTTGTTTATTTAATTTTTTTTGGTGATTTTTACTAATTTTATTTATTTATTATTATTATGTTATGTTAGTCACCATACATTACATCATTAGTTTTGGATGTAGTGTTCCATGATTCATGTTCACGTATAACACCCAGTGCTCCACGCAGAATGTGCCCTCTTTAATACCCATCACCAGGCTAACCCATCCCCCCACCCCCTCCCCTCTAGAACCCTCAGTTTGTTTCTCAGAGTCCATCGTCTCTCATGGTTCATCTCCCCCTCCGATTTCCCCCCTTCATTCTTCCCCTCCTGCTGTCTTCTTCTTATTATTCTTTTTTTTTTTTTTTTTTTTAACATATAATGATCTCAACTGGTTTTAATGTCGACATTTGACCCTGGGGTGACACTTAAAGGACACATCGCGCGAAGGCAAATCCAAGGCTTGGGTGGAATGTACTAATTCATGTTGGTGGTAGCCCTCTCCCTTGCTGTTGTTGATGTATGAAATTATAGTAGTTGTGCACATTGGTGCCTTTGGGATTCCGGAAGTGCCTCCTTGAATTAGAAGGCTAAGATTGTGCGTGTGTCTTCCCCTCTCTCGTTTATGCTAGGGGATCCCCACCGAAACATCATCATGTGGCTGGACCACCGGGCGGTCAGTCAGGTCCACAGGATCAACGAAACCAAGCACAGCGTCCTGCAGTGTGTCGGCGGTGTGATGTCTGTGGAGATGCAGGCCCCGAAGCTTCTGTGGCTCAAAGAGGTGAGCACCTAGGGTGGAGCGAGTGTGGTAATCACAGCCGGGCATTCTGTTTATGCGGATCCATCTGTACCAGGCGCCATGCTAAAATCTGTTACATTTGATTTTTCCCAGCAGCTCTCTGATGAAGGTTGATCCCAATTTATTGATTACGTTGCAGTTAAATCATTCCTGTTTTTAGGTGCTAACTTTAGGCAGGCAGGGTGCTAAGTGTTTGACACAGATTATCTTTTTGAATCCTAGCAGCCACCTTATGAAGGTAGGGGTTGTCTCTTTTTTGGGGGAGGGGGTGAGGGTTTTCTGTAGACAAGAAAACTAAAGCTAATAGAGATTAACCAACTCACCCAAAATGACATGATAAGTATATGGCAGAGCCAGGGTTGGAACCTGAGACTGGCTGACTCCAAAATCAGTTCTCTTAATATCCAGGACTCTCCTGGAGTTCAGAGGCTGATTACCATTCAGTAGAAAGTGGCAGAGCTGGGCTTTAAGTCCACATCTTCTGACCAGAACCTTCTTTCTTTGTGCACTTATATTCCCCGAGGATTAATCTGACCTTGGTGGCATGTTGGGGTTTTTCATGTTGCCTGAACTTGAGTTTCCCTGTCCTTGAGTGATACAGTGATCTCTGGATGGAGCCCTTGTGGGTGGTTCCTGTTTCCAGATGTTCGGATCCATTATGAACTGTGGATAATGGTGATGTCAGCTTCATGGTGCCCAGCAGGGATGGATGTGTGAGAAAGTTCAAGTCCTCTGGGAACCTCAGGGACTTGAAAATCCCTAGGTGGTCTGGTGAGGAGAGAATCCATCTAATGAGTAAGACCTGGCATGATTCATTTACTGGCTCTGGGCTTTCAGGTGATCTGAGTCTTCGATTACTCAAAAAGTATTTGGGGGTGAGGGGAGTGTAAGGGTGCTGAGGAGGTGTCCCTGGATTGCCACCGAGAGCAGAAGAGACAGAAGCAAAGAGGGCATCAGTAATCAAGGGAGGTTTGGCTTGTTACCTGTTTAGCATATTGAGCTGTTATGTAAGCTTTAATTTGCCAAAAGGCTTCTATATTTATTAAGAGTCTGAAAACCAGAACGTTTTAGGAGTCAGGGGTTTCTGACTCTACTGGCATCACCTTATGAGACTTTGAGGAAAGCAGTTCTCATCCCAGGCCTCACTTTGTCCATCTATAAAGTGAGAGAGCTGGTCTGAACCAGTTTGAAAACCTGATATGAATATATCCTGAAATACCAATCAGAATATAGAACTACTCCACACTGCCCACACCTTCTGCTTTGTGTTCTGTAGACGTTAATTGATTTAATCTTAGCAAGCTCTGCCTGATAGACAGCATGGGAAACTGAGGCTGACAGAGATAGCAGCATGATTTTCCTAAACAGATGGTAGAGCCAGAATTTAAACCCATGTCTGCTGGCCTTCAAATCCCAGCTCGCCTCATCATGTTATGCTGCACTGAAATCCCTCTTTAAGGTGTGTCACTTAGGGTAGGACCAGGAACAAGGGAAGTGGTGTTTTTAAACCAACCTAAACACGGTGCAAGGAAACAGATGGGTTGGATACATCACACCCTTCTTGACCACAGGTAAGTAAGAGCTGTACTGAATTAAGGGAGGAGGATCAGGTAGGTGGTCATTGGTGTATCCTGAGGGCCTTATTGAGCACCTGCTTCATGGCTGGCTTGGGACTGTATATCCCAGGAGGTCTGAATACACATCTGGTGTGAACCTCTCTGGATGCTCGGCACTGTGCGCTTGAGATCAAACTGTACTAAATAAAGCACATAGAAAATAATTAGGTTCTAGATTGCATGGCATTCAGTGATTATGACCTCCAGAGACTGACCATCCATCCATCTAATCAGTTCCATTTCAGAGTTTTCTGAGAAAGACCTGAAACATTATCTCATCGTGTATTTAACTACCTGACGGTTGAGCCTCAAATCGGTTTTTAAAATTTCTTAAACTTATTTTTATTTATTTATTTTTGGTAAACACGTACAGGAATCCATGCTAAGAATTCCTTTGATTTTTATCATGATTGCAAATTCAAAATAAAAGATACTGCCTAATACCAGTTTTAGCATTTTCTCCTTAAAGGCTGACCCAGATGGCTTATGACCCTTTTCTGACTTGAAGGTGTAAGTGAATCATCTGAGGATCTTGTTAAATTGTAGATTTCTGATTTAGTATTCCTGGGGTAGGGACTGAGAATTGGCATTTCTGACAAGCTCCCAGGCGATGCTGATGTTGGTGGCCCACAGACTTATAAAACCACTTCTAGTTCGAGAAGCTCTGTGCTTTATATCCTGAAGAGCACCTATTTGTGGAGAATCAGGAGACAGTACCTTCTTTTGAATGGGGCTATGGGAGACTGGGGGACCAGGAAATTAGATACTTTCAAAGAGTTTTTGAACAGCACATCAGAGTCAGAACGTGACTCTGTGCTAAGCTCATGGGGCTGTCATTTGTTTACTCCCTTATTCACTCTTTAATTCACCAAATATTAACTGAGGTTCTGCTGTGACCCAGCAGTGTCACAGCCACTGGGGACACAAGCATGGAGAGGACTCAGGCTTACCCTTGAGGGGTCCAGTGTCCTCTGGGGCAGTGGTGGGGAAGCAAAGGGGGGGTTTGGGTGGAAGAAAGAGACATGGAACCAGAACTGTCGGAAGATGTTCTAAGCACCTTGATAAACGAATATGCAAAGTGCTTTTGGAGAAAATAATTTGCTTCTGGGAGGAGTTCTTGAAGATGAGTCTCAAGATAGGAATGGAGGTTTTGCCTAATAGAGAAGACAGGGAGGAAATTCTAGAGAAAGGCTATGGTTCATTTTTGGTAAGGTACGTAAGTCCTGGGATGAGAGCCCAGGATGCTTCTCTGAGTGTAGTAGGAGATGAGGCCAGGTAAGTAGCCTGGGCTCAGTTTGTTAAGGGCTTATTTGGTGATAGATGGTTTTTAAGCGAGGGGGAGGGAATGTCTTAGATAACTTTGGCAGGGAGGTAGAGACTGGATTAGGGGTGAGGAAATGTGTGTGTGTGGGAGTAAGAACCAGTTTTCATACTTTCCTGATTATAGCACTTTGTTGGCTTGGCTTTGCTCTTAGGATAAATTCCAAAATTTGTAACACAGCCCAGAAGATGGTATGTGATATCATTTTCACTTACCCCTTTCAGCTTACTGTGTGCCCCTCACCTTGCTCACTCTCTCCTCCGGGGCCGCATCAGGGTGTCTCAAACATGCTCAGTTCTTTGCCACCTCCGTCTTGACTAGGGGTTGGCAAACTCCAGTGCATGGGCCACATCTGGCCTGCTGCTTGCTTGGGATGTTTTGGGAGCAAAGAATGGGTTTTACTTCAAATGGCTGAAAAAGGATTCAAAAGGAGAATGATGTTTTGTGACTTGTGAAAATTATGTGAAATTCAGATTTTCAGGGCCACGAAGTTTTATTGAAACACAGCCACACTCATTCATTTATGTTTTGTCTGTGGCTGCTTTTGCATCACATTTGCACCTTCAAGACAAATGCATCACAGTGACAGAGCTGAGTAGTTGAGACAGAGACTGTGTGCCTGCAAGGCTGAAAATATTTACTCTGTAGACCATTAGAGAAAAGTTTCCTGACCCCTGGTCTTGGTGATGTGATGCTATGCTTTCTGCCCCTGAATATTCTTCCCTCTACTCAACACTGATCCTGACTTATCATTCAGGTTTCAGCTTTATTGTTATGTCTTCAGAAAAGCCTTGCCTGACTCTCCAGTAAATTAAAGATCTCTTTCCATTGCCCTCTTACTTCACTGCGTCTTTCTTAAATTGTAGTGATGTATTATTTTGTATGATGACTTGCATGGTGCTTGGCTCTTCCCACCACTGTAATCCATGGGGGGATGGAGAGCCTATCCGTTTTGTTCATGACTGTTTCGCTACCCCTAATCAGCCTGGCATATAGTAGGTAGTCAATAAGTAGTTTCGAGTAGGGGCTCGGTAAGGGGCTTCTGCAGTCCCCCAGGTGAGAAGTCATGAGGCGTGAAGTAGGTACTGTGGGGTGGAGAAGAGATAGGTTCCAGAGTTTTTAGAGCATACTATCAGCAGGATATGGAGGCTGATTGGCTATGAGGAGCGAGCGAGATGGCAGAGTCAGAGCTGACCACTCACTTCAGTACTGCTGTCATTTGTGGGCTCCTTGTCCTTAGCCTGGAATCTGATGACATCGGGAGTCGGGCAGAATCTGGAGTTCAGACTTCCCAGAAGATCCAAGTGATAGACTAGGACCACCGCAGCTCTTGGGCAAAGTCACGCGGGTCCTGGTTCTGCAATGTGGAATTTTAATCATGTCCTTTACATTTAAAATTTGTGTGTTTCAGGTTGATATATGTCTCCTTAATAAGAATTGTCAGATAAAAGGAGAAATGCCATTTGAATTTTTCATAACCCCCAGCAGTCTGGCTTTTCCATTTGGTCTCAATGATTCTGACTCTCATCTTAATGAAGGCCAAATGTAAATTAAGTTCTGTCAAGGCTGGAACAGCTGGAGTCTCCTATCTTTATAAACATGAAACATTGCAGGGTAACAAGGTGCAGACTGGGGAAGGTCAAGAGAGTTAAGGGCTGATGCCGATCCTGACAACTCAGTGTTAATGGAAGATAATTAACTGGCGTGTAGGGGCTGCGTGGAGATCTTCCAATCCGACTTTTAACTCATTTCCTCTTTTTGCCATTGTCAGCAGAGCAGAAAGCTAATCATTTTATAGTTTGAGATTTTCATTGTTCATTCCCAACTGGAACCGACTGGCTGGAATGTCCGAGGATTTTGTTGGTGGGTTTAGGAGATCTGTCTGCCCCCGCCTCCCCCATCTCCCCCCAGTTCATGCCTCTGTGCTTCTGTTCCCCTGATAGCGTGCTGGGAAAATGAAGAAATGATTCTCTGGTTCTAATGTGCCTCTTGCTGTGTATGTAGATTCTTTGGTGGAAGCTGGGAGTTGGGATGCCTAGAGAGGT